TCCGCCCTTCAAACCGAAACGCATTAATGCTTCACGACAGAAATAGGCAGGGTGCGGACTCACAAGAGGTCCTACCACCAGTAATTACGCAAATTATAATTTTGCGGGTTTGATTTTTATTACACGATGTTATTCCTTCACCGTGGAAGTCAATCGTGAACATTTGTTAAATACGTATTGCATTAGAAAAATTGGTACCCGCCTGCGGGATTCGAACACCAGTGCATCGCTAGATACGATTGCACCGGACGTCTTATCCTTTAGGCCACGACGACTTCAAACTACCTCACATTATTTGATTAAATCGAATCTGTGTTCCGCTTCTACATTTAACTAAATAACTCAGCGTATTATTGATAACATCTAAGGGAATTCAACAACAACTCGATATCGCAATGGGTTTCATAGTTTATAAAACATTGTTCTTACTTTGCTCTAAACCAAAGTAATTTTAATCGAAATGGCTGAGTTTAACTCTTATTTACCAGTGTTTATGGACATGGGTAATGCACATTGAGCTCTTGCAGCTAAGTCCTCAAACTAACTTTGGTTAAAGAATTACCTACGTCGCGTCGCAAAGCTGAAAAAACATCGAAGATGGATATTTGTTTCAGTGCTAGAAAATTCTAAGTTATATCTAGAAACATACTCTCTTCATGATGCCTGTATGTGAATAAATGAACTACTCAATAATTAAAAAATAATAAAATACAAGCGTATTTGTATTACACAAACTCTGTAGAACGAATTCTGAAATTTATTTTAATATTTAATTACTCTTTTTTTCTACAACCATGACGATGAAACTAGTCATACTTTTAATATCTTGTAGAAAATTGTAATTAGACTTCACCAGAGCTGCTTAAGAAACTAAAATAATAGATTTTCAAATGTGCTATAAGTCTTAACTATGCGTCATTAGTTTTCATTGTTACGTATGACATAATGATAAATAAGCACATTTCGTATTACGTACAAAATAGTTATTACTAATTTTTTTTCCAGAGAAAACTAATTATGAGAAAAATGTTTTCTATTCGCAAAAACATGCAAATGGCCCAATTGATATTATGTGGTTCCGGGGCTCACAGATATCACAAGACGATTGCCGTCACCCTTTTAAGTAGGTGATGAGGTGTTTGAGAGGCATCTAAGTTTTTTGCACCACCCAAAAGTAATATGCAAGTTGAATGATGGTTTTTTTTTTATGATTGAAGAATTACTGGTGGCCCGGAGGCCTTTCCAGTTTCACCAGGACAGGGGAATGATGGTACCAACGCCTGCATAATCAAAATGAGTTCTACTTAAATTATATTATTTACTAGCTGAACCCCGCGGTGCTACCCGCGGTTATTGTCGTACCGCAGTTAATTTTGCGAGGCGAAGTTAATCTATATCCTTATATTATCAGCTACCTATCAGTGAAAGTCCCGTAAAAATTGGTCCAGCAGTTCCAGAGATTAACCGGAACAAACAGACAGAGAGACCGACCGACAGATAGACAGACGAAATTTTTTTAAAAATACACTTTTGATGTATGTACCGTGTATACATACATATGCATTAAGTAAAAAGCTGTTATTTAATATTACAAACAGACACTCCAATTTTATTTATTTGTATAGATTTAGTGAAAGCTGTTAGTGAACAAAACTGTTTACATGACAATGGTACAGCTGGTATTCATGGTCGCGCCCGATATGTTCACCGGACGTCGTACCCAATAGGTCACGGACGGACAAATGCCCCAAGTCGGAAGCCTCCTAGTGACATAAACAATTTAATAGAACGGCCAACCATTAAAATGGCTTAGTCCAACACTGTCCCTTACTGATGGTAGGACCTCTTGTGAGTCCGCACGCGTAGGTACCACCACCCAGCCTATTTCTGCCGTGAAGCGGTAATGCGTTTCGGTTTGAAGGGCGGGGCAGCCTTTGTAACTATGCTGAGACCTTAGAACTTATATCTCAAGGTGGGTGGCGCATTTACGTTGTAGATGTCTATGGGCTCCAGTAACCACTTAGCACCAGGTGGGCTGTGAGCTCGTCCACCCATCTAAGATAAAGAAAGCGCAAACGAAATGTTACAGTCCTGCCACACTTCATTACAAAGCGGTTCTCTTGGATCACGAATGCACTAATGGAATGTTCTTGGAACAGCTCGCAGAAGTCATTGTCCTGTAGGGTAATCCACACTAATATTATAAATGTGACAATGTATTTGTTTGTCCGTCTTTCACCTCGACACGAAGCTATATACCCGGACTATTTGACACATTTTAAATTTCAATAATTTCAAAATCATCCTTGTCACTGAAATTTGTCACGATTTTTTACTTTAAAATGATTATGTAAACAAAGCTAGGTGTGATTTCACTCTCAAGAAAATATTGTCGTGCCGTTCTAAAACTTCAATATTAGTTAGAAGTTATCCGAATCTATACTAATATTATAAAGAGGAAAGATTTGTTTGTTTGTATTGAATAAACTCCGAAACTACTGAACGGATTTGAAAAACTATTTCACTGTTTTGAAGCTACACTACTCCCGAGTGACATAGGCTATAATCTTTTTTGAAAAAATTACGGATCCGTACTAAAACTTCAATAATATAACCCAAGGTGTAAAAAAATACCTAAAATATTCTTTACATCGCGTGCCCTGCGAAAACTATTGATGATAGAATAAAATAATGTACTACGACTTTGTAGAAAACATTATTATTAACAAAAAGTGTCGCCACGGCATATGTCTAACTATTATAATTATGCCGCAATCACTTATTGCGGCATTTCTTTAATTTTTTGAAATAAAACAAAATCAAATATCGATGAAATTTTTGTTAAAGACCCGAGCGGAGCCGGAGCGGGCCGCTAGTCACAAATATAATGATCAAGTATCATCGACTCACTCAAGTACTTGGTCGGTCAACCTACAACAAAATCCCTATGAGTATCTAGAAAAGAAAATAGCTTATGACTAGATAAAAAGAACACTAATCAAGTTTTGATTCATTAGTATTCTTTTATTAATAAAATATGTTTTTTGTATAGTTTATTGTTTCATATTTGACATGATTCACTGTAGATGTTTCTAGAAACGCATCTACCTGATTCGTGGAGATATTTTGAACCATTCGATAAATGAAATCAGCGACTTTATAAACGTATGTGTTTTTTTATATAGTTTAAACAAGTTTGTATTTGTATGCACAAATAAAAAATATAACAACGACCGGTTGGTTATGAGCGGTATTTTTTGTTTGGAGGTTTGTTATTAAGTTTATTGATAATGTTTTTGATTGAAAATAAATTCCGTTTGCTCATAATTCGTCCGGAATCAATACAAAGCTGGCCTACTTAAGCTTTACTTTCACAACTACTTCTTACGCATTTCTTTTTAATATTAATACCTGTTCTTTCTTTAATCCACTCACCAAGTCCTGCTGTATCAATGGCTATAGGTACTTGTCCCGTCGGTAACGGCGTCAAGTATTTTTCTATACTAATGTTTTAATGTGAATGCTTTATGCAATTTCATTCAGGCAAAAAAACATTGAATTCACACTTATTACAGTCTATATTATGAACCGGGAAAACGCCGGTTATATTTGCTATAATAAATACGAAAGTGTGTTTGCTTGTTCGCGATTTTACGTACTGACTGATCTACAAATTGACCGGTCTATACATTAGAGAGTGGCACAAGCTATATCCTCTGTATCGGGAAAATACGTTTAAGTAATATCACCTTCACACTACACCTACCAAGCTTCATCTCTGCACTCCCCTAAGGTAGACTGTTAGAGAATGCCTATGGCATTAAGTCCGTCTTTATACTTTCTAGTATAAGAAGTTATAAATAAAAAAATTTAAAAAATACAAAGTGTTTCATTATGTCTGAGTTACTGATTTAAATTTCCTTGAATAACGGAGAGGGTCTAATGCTAAATAACATAAATGTTGCTAATCATACTAAATAGGAGAAAAACAAGACGAAAATGAGGTTCCTTTTATTTTTCAATAACCTAAACTTCGATAACAATGATGATGTTGTTGATTTTTTGATTAATAAAACGTGAACCCAACAGATCACCTTGAAACTTCAGGTCGAAGACTTAGGTACCTACTTGAAAAAAAAAAGAGCTGGCGTTAACTGAGACGCTGGTCGCATTTACTTTTGTTTAAATCGATGTACCTACACGAATCGGTGCAATCATTTAATTTTGTAAAAAGTTTATTGACGTAGGCAAAATTATTGTAAATGCATTTATCAATGTTTCGCGTGAATATGTTTGAATAAATATACATGATTAGATGTCAGATAGCGGATTTATTTGTGTTACGAAGTCTGTAGAACCGGTATTAGCATACACAAGTGCTAACTGGTTTTATTATTGGTGGTAGTGCATCTCGTGAGCCCGCACGGGAGGCGACCATCACCCTGCCTCTTTCTACCTTGTAGCAGTAATGCATTGTTTGAAGGCTTGGAATTGCCGCTATATTATAAAACTGAGAATTAGAACTCATGACTCAAAGTGGGTTGCAGCGTTGTTGCTGATGTCTTCTAGGCGCCCTAAGCCACTTAACACCAGATAGACCGCAAGCTTGTCTACCCATCCACATTATAAATACTTAGAAGTAATAAAAAATAGAGTTAAATTATTTTAAAGACTATTCGCTTTCATGGTACAGATGTATTTTTTTAGTTTATCTATTTTGAATAGAAATATTTGAGGTATAAGCGCTAATCTAACCGCAACGTAAATGCACTGAAACTGGTTACTTAATTAAAGGCGAAGGTATGTACTAACACAGGAATGTTCGAATGGATTAATTCATATTTAAAATATATAGTTTCTGCCTTAAAAAAAACAGATGTTGATTTTTAAAATAGCTTCTGAACATGCTTTAAAAGACTATCATCTCTATAATCCCTTTCTAGCTCCGTAGGATTATCAATAATTTTAATTGTGACTAAGAAACATGAAAAACTACTTACGTCTGACACACAAAAACTCACATCAAAAAAACCAATGTAATATTCACTATCACATAGACAATTTTTGATCTCTGTCTAAAAGAATTTAGTAATTTCACGTAGTATTTGACAAATAAATTCGCGCGCTGAGCAACTGAAGCGATCGGCCGCAAGGGACTATCGCGTCGGCGAGACTCGTGTCTCGTGTACGTACCGGAGAGAAGGTCGTATATTTCAATGCAGCGCTTGTTCAGATAAAACGTTACAATATTTGCATCCTAAAAAACTAGTGGGGAGATAATGTCGTACGTATTTGTTGGAGACATTTTCGCCTACACCTCAATCGGAGTAAGCCGGAAGAAGAACACGGTATTTTTTTAATAAATATTTAAATACGAGTATTAACATTTAGAATATTTTCATTCACATAATTCGATGCTATAAAAACAATAATAAACCCGTATTCGCTGGAACTTTAAATTTAATTATTGAAACTTAAAAAAAATGTTATCAATGTACCTTCTAATTCAGTATATAATAGCAATGTCAAACACCAACTATTTTCGCAATAATAATTATTTATATATTAATACGTGAAGCAAAAACTTTAGAAAATTTTCACACTTATAGAGAATATAGAGAAGGAGTGCACAATGCTAATATTTTTTTTAAATAATGCATAAAACATACATTAAATCAATAAAGAAAACATTACACACACTACCATGTATTTGACATACACGCATGCATACTATTTGTTTATTGTCAAACTTTTCTTATTGCATTAAAGTCTATAGTAAAATTGAGAATATATTAAATTTTAATATTGTTTGTCTTTATTAATATTATTCTATATTGTAGTCTTAGTGAAATTTGTGATTATAGAATATGTCTTTGTAAATAGAATCATAATAGTGTACGAACTTATAATTTCAATTAATTATAGTCGAATTTCGATTACCGGGCGACCACTAGTTATATCTAACACGATGACATTTCTTTACTGTGAATTCAAGCACAATCAACAAATTGAAAGTACTAGTTTCCAATAAAATAACTTTAGGTACATCACAGATTGGGGGTTATTTGTGAGGATCATTTAATTCTAAGCCATGCGCTATTAGATTTACTGATCCACTAACATTTTAAATGACTCCAATATCCAATTTATAATTTATAAGTGCACATAACTCAAGCCTTTGTGTGTGGCATTGTATTGCGATATGTTTTACTCAATGTTGATAAAAATCAAGACTTACTGATTAACTAGAAATATTACCGTTGCAATGCTAGGAGTCGCCTACGTGACAATGAAATTTTCAAGCTATAATCAGCAGACCTCGCAACAAATAATGAGACATTTCCTTTGCATACGTTACTAACATATATTTATATTGAACGAGATAAGAAAATACTGTATTAAACCTGCAATACAGGTGTAATTTTAATGAACTATACAAGTACAAAGATGGTGTATGGTATGTTAAGGGGAGATAGTTAGAGCGTTTGATACTATGTAGAACAATGATGCGAAAAGTACTGCCACGCCGACCTTTCTAGTCAAAATCGTGTCAATACCTATCTCCATAGGCTTTTAAAATATAATTTTATGCCCTTTTTGTTAGCACAAAATGCTATATAGGCGCTCATATTCAGCATTATAAAAAAAATATTAATTTTACAATTTAATTCGATGTAACGATTATAAAAAAGCCAGATTAAACTGTTACAGATAAAATAAACGATTTAATGAATATAAGACGTAAATAATAAAATAAATGATATTCCATGAACCATAAACAAAAAAGCAAACACGCATATTGGTTTAGTTTAGCTACATTTTACGACCATAGTAATTTTCATGGAATTATATACGAATTCTTTTATGATTAAACATACAACAGTACACGTGTACGAGGACAACATTAAATAACAAAATTAATGCTTAATCAAGATATTGTAGGGATGAAGATGAAGGTGAAAGTGCTTAAACGTTAAAATTACCGGTCATCGTTCTTCGCCGGTCGCGTTTCCGATCCAGTAGTAAATTCTGCGAAGCACGGCTCTTGCTAGGGTTCGTGTTAGCAACGTCGTCAGGTTTGAGCCCCGCGAGCTCACCTACTAGTTAAGGTTACGCTGAAATAACCCGTCAAGGCTATCAGCTTCGGTAGGCAAAAAAGAAGTTAAAATTTTCTTCTTGTTTTTTTTTTTGCTTAGGTTGGTGGACGAGCTTACGGCCCACCTGGTGTTAAAAGGTTATCGGAGCTCATAGACATCTACAGCATAAATGCCGCCACCTAACTCGGGACACGAGTTCTTAGGTCTCAGTTTTTAGATTACAACGGCCGCCCCACTCTTCAAACCGAAACGCATTACCGCTTTAGGACTGAAATAGACAGGGTGAAGAAGACCTTCTACCACCTGTAATTACGCATTTTACACTTTTTAATTTGTTACACGATGTTATTCCTTCACCGTGGAAGTTAATTGTAAAGATTTGTTTAGTAATATTTCATTAGAAAAATTAGCACTTGCTTGCGGTGAAATTGAACACAGTTGGTGCATCGCTAGATACGAATGCACCGGATGTCTTATCCTTTAGGTCACGACTAAGCTTGTTGCCCACGACGACTTGTTGCCCTTATCCTACATTATGTGATGTTGGCGCAGTATGTCCTCTTGCTATTCATAGAGATTTAACATGAGGCTTAACCCCTGGACTGCCGTATAGGTCACCGGTGCCCTACGCGGCGCACTCAAGTACATAATTACGGCAATTTCCGTTACTAAGACGCCCGAACATCTAGTAGACTGTGGGAAAGACGAATTCGAGGATACTGAAATTGAATGTATTTCTGTGAGACCTAAAAGACTAAAACGAAAGAAGGCAAAGTTATCAAGGCGCTTTAGTAACAGAAATCGACAATGTTTTTTTTTTTTTTTTTTTTTTTTTATGATTGAGAGATTACTGGTGGCCCGAAGGCCTTTCCAGTTTCACCAGGACAGGTGGGCGAGCAAAGGCTCAGCCAAGAGGGGTGGGATTTGCTAACAACTGCCCGAGCGCCTCCGAAGGAGACCTAACAACTCAAGAGCAATTGCTTCGCGAATGAATCTACTACCGGATCGGAATCGCGACCCGCTGAGAAGATCCGGCGAGAAACTCAGCGGGCTGATGCATGGGTTAGGTTGCACGTCGACCTCTTTGTCGAGTTCGACGAGTACGGTTACCGGGGTCCCTAAGCCTGCCCCTAGTATTAGAGCTGAAGGCATCTAATGCAAAGGTTATTGGATCTGATGGATCCGTAAGGACGTGTCTAGGGCGTCGACGGTGACTGGCTCCTGCATGATCAGGATTCGGGGAGTAGTCAGCGGCGGCAACGATAAGGCGATTATCATGACGCATAGCCTTATCGAAGTATCGTTCCGACGCTGACTTCATGTATTTCCGAATTGATTCGAGGCCCAGGTCGTCGTGTAGGTCAACGTTCCTCACGAACCACGGAGCCCCGACAGCTAACCTGCA